TAAAAAAAATAACTTCTGCATTAACAGCCAGTCAAGGAAGGACTATTTGAAAGGAAACACCAATAGACAGGAAGAAAGATAAATTCTTCCTAACTATATATATACTAAGTTTTGTTTTCTAGTACTATATCCACATCCATACTGTTTTCTACTGCATGGACAACATGGATGTAGTTCAACAGCTGTGGCATAAATACTACTCACAATCACTGCTTGAGTCAATGTCATTGGTTGTTCAGACAGGCTATCTTTCAGGAAAACATCATTAAACATAGCTATCTCACAAGTTAAAAAACATCTCAGAGGAAGCATTAACAAGCCACTTCCAAACTGGTGCCAAAAAATGCTGTGTCTATTCCAACTGCCAAGCTTTCTTCAGAGACATATTGTAGGTAATGCTTATGTAAACTAATCATAGTCCCTGCTTTGCAATACCTGCTGGAGAAAAAAAAACAAAGCAAATTCTAAAAAGCAAGACAAAATAGTGGTAGCTTCTACCTTTCATGATCATCCTCCCTACCTGCAGGTGGGACCACAATGTTACACACTGGAGGAAACTTAGAAGGCTGAACTAATGCAGAATAGATGATTGGTCAAACAAGGGGCAGGCCCTTCCTTCTTGCTTATCTATAAACTCTTTTTGGTTGTCATGGTCATAAGACTGGGCCTAAATAGCTCGACCATCCAGAAAATTTAGTGAGAAAATGATGACTGAGAGGCAGCTTTATTTCATTCATTCCCTTTGAATTAAAACCAGTTCCTTGCAGTACAATACAAAAAGGCTGGAGTTTAAAAGGGAGGCAGAGGATAAGCAATCAAAAGGATGAGTTACTAAAAACTATTCAACCCTTCTACTGAATAGTTTTGAGGAGACAGCAGTTGTTCCTGCCCCAAATCATCACTGCTTTCTCAGCCTCAACCTATAGGTTCTGCTTGCTTCTTGGAGCAATAAGGTATGCAAATACAGAAAAGTTTTCTTTTGTTCAACATCTGGATTCTTACCTGATACGGTAGGCTAAACTGCTAGGGCAAAGAAGTTGAGAGTTGGGGATTAAGCAACAATTGGAGTGGTCAAGGGAGAAAGCTAAATTGTTCCCTCTCTTCTGAATTCCATCTCCTGGTAACCCAAAACTGGGATGTCTGTCTATTGAATTAAATCTTTATCTGCTCCATTCTGTGATGACCTGGGGCATGGCACAAAGGCAACACAATCACAGTAGGATTCCCTTTATTAGCTTCAACTTTGCCCCCAATGTCTGATTACCTTCTGGCTGGAGAAACTCTCCCAGAACAGCCTTTGCCTCCAGAGAATCACGTCCAAAACGTGGTCAACAAAAACTGTAACTTTTAAGTCTAATCAAGGCAAAATGAGGTAATTAGTCTGGCAGGGCAGGAGCAAGAATTCCAGACATGAAGGCACAGCAATAAATCAACACAATTGATAAGACACCAGGAACACAGATAACCAAAGTCAACACAGCATAAAGTCATGTTTGCTCCCAGCAACTGCCGCAATCAGCATTCAGTTCTTATAAACTTTCATTCCCAGGTGTGGCTAATGAAGGGAATTGGGGCCCTTTCTTCCCCGTAAGCCATGCAACCCACGTTGCTCTCTTCTCCATTCCTCCCTGGATGCCCTAGGATGAAGAGGGGAGTGGGCCTGGGTCTTCCTCTGAACTCCCTCTCCCTTGTTCTACCCCACCCCTGCTCTGCCCAGCCGGACTTTGCCCTTCCCCGGTTTCCTCCACAGCCATCAGAGCCACACTCCCACTTCCTGTCAGCTGTTCATCTTCCTCCCCGAATTCAAACTCTGACAGGGGCACGACACATTCAGAGAGGCAGGATAGATAAAAGAGGATTGCCTTCACACTTTACAACTTCTTCCTTCTTTCTCTTTGATAATGTAGCACAAGAGGATGGCATGGTAAAAAGAAGACAATATCCTCTCTGACCCTCTCCAATTAGATTGTATGAAGGTTATGCTACAGATATATTTATCTATAGCCCACCTTTATATAAACAACTCAAAATGTCAGTACTCCTTCCTCCTCCTATCTTCCCCACAACAACCCTGTGAGGTAAGTTGCGTTGAGACTGAGTGACTGGCCCAAGGTCACTCAGCTGGTTTTCATAGCCAAAACAGGATTAGAACTCACAATCTCTTGGTTACGTGTGATTGGGTGATGCCTTGGCAGTCCTAAATCCACAATGGAAAGCACACAAAAAATTGAAATAACTTCTACCTTCTTTTCTTTGCATACTAGTTATTGCGTTCCCCAGCATACCGTGAGTTGTAACATTCAGAAAATGATGAGCATTGAGAGAAGAAGAGAAGAAGAGAAGAAGGAAGTATCTTCCTTGTTTGGGAAACTGCTCGGCCTATTCAGTTTAGAGTCTGATTTCTTCTCCAGATTCACAGACTGTTCTTTTCTTCAGAATAAAAAGTCTGGATCCTGTGATAAAATCTTAGGGGATACATACACAGAGAGAGAAAGAATACACAGTATATACACACACATTTTCAATTCTGACAATTTAAGCCAGGGCGAGAAATGTGGTATCCATAAATATCTTCCTGGATGTCTATATCACAGAATATAAAGATTGGAAGGAATATTGAAGATCATCTTGACCGGGGTGTCAAACTCATATTGTCACTGCAGCATCACGTGACGTATTAGGACTTTTTTTCCCCTTCACTAAATCAGGTGTGGATGTGGCCAGCATGTGACGCATCCGGCCCATGGACTTGGAGTTTGACAGGCCTAATCTAGACCAATTCCTTGTCCACCAATCCAGTGCTTGAACATCTTCAGTGGAAGACTCTGCCTCACCACCTGAAACAGTCTGTCCATTGTTGAAAAACTCTTTACCATTAAGACATTTTTCCTGATGTCCTGTCACCATTTACTCCCTTGCTCATCTTTATAGTTTTACAGTTAACAGTCATACAGTTTTCCCAGAAATGTTTCCACTGAAATTCAAAGACATATGATGACCCTATCTTCTGGAAGACCCAAACCAATGTTGCCCCATGTTCTGCATGATGGCCCTTTTAAGCTTTTTTAAGATAGTTATTATTCATCACTACAATCTTCTCATCTCCAGGCTAAACACAACCAATGTAGAACTATCAGCTGGGAAGTTTTTAAGAGTCATACAGTTTTCCCAGAATTTTTTTCACTGGAGGCAAATTCAAAGGCATATGATGCACACTTCCTGCTTGCTGTGCCTTGTGGTTTTTTTCCTAGGTTGTTTTGTATAATTACAAAATAGGTAAGTGGGAAGCAGAAACAGCAGCTTACAGGGCAGCTGTAGCCATTATTAGGAAAGAATGAAGCATTGCCTACAAGTTTGCACAACAGCCCAGCAGAAAAGTAAAAGTAAGAAGCTGGGTTGATGGAATGTTTCAGGTACTGCAGTAGAAACTGGGAGAGTGTGAGTTCTAGCCCAATCTCAGAGCTGAAAGATGACTAGGATTAGGGTTAGGGGAGTGGGTTTTTTTTTTTTTTAGCCCAATCCACTTCACAGTTTTACTGTTGTAATGAAAATAGGAAGCAGTACTACGATTACAGCATGTTGCCTTAAGCTGTACAAATTAAGGTGAGATATAAAACTAATGAGCAGTTTGGGCTAGTGGTTAAGCACCAGGTTATAAACTAGAAGACCATGAGTTGTAGTCCTGCCTTTGGCATAAAGCCAGTTAGGTGAGTTTGGGCCAATCACTCTCACTCAGCCCTAGGAAGGACGCAATGACAAACCACTTCTGAAAAACCTCCCCCAAAGAGCGCAGAGCTTTTGCCGGGCAGATGTCAGATATCAAAAAACAAAGGCAAATAAAAATAAATCTAATAATACATTTCAAAAAAATAAAATAGTAGAGAATCAATCTTTTGATTTGTGTGTGTGTGTGTGTGTTTATGTCCATCATATTTGTTAGAACACCCAAGACTTCCTTACCCAATTCCAAAGGTTTCCTTCTTGTTGTAGTAATCATACTATAATCTACCTGGTGTTTGTCATAACTATAAACATTTGACTAGAGTATAACTGGACCATTTCACATGCTACCTTTGCCTAATAAGAGCAGTTTTATCAAGAATCAGAAAAGACAAGTGAAATATCAGGGTCACAGATAAACTGGGGGAAACATTAATAAGTCCTCCACTAATTATGTTGACCCTTGAATTAGCAGGGACAAATATCCATCAATCTGCTTACACACAAATACATCAGTCCCATGAGTAATATATATTCAACAGAGTTTATTCCCAGGTATGAGAATCTTTTAAGGATTCTAACCCTGATTCCTCTGTTCGCATTTGAACATGTTTACTGTCTCATCTAATAACATTCCTATGTTTACGACTGGTTCTTCCTCTCCCGACCTCGACATTGCCACATTATCGAGTTTCGTCTCAGCGAAACCCTGCCACAACAGCCCTCTCTCCCAAGGCAATTTCATTAAAAGCAAGCCCGATGGATGGAAAAAAAATCGCTTCCAAAGGGCACGCATTTTAAAATCGCCTGCGGTTCTTAGAACTAGAATTCCTTGGATCGTCAAACCTCCAAGCCCCGAGGATTATTCTCGGTTCCGTAAAAGTCACAATATCACCACTCTGGCAACTTTTTTTTTTTTTTCCCCGCCCGGGCTAAAATATGCTACGCAAATACATGAACATGTCGCAACTCCTCCTGGTACAAAAAGCCCTCTTTCTCCTGCCTTGTAATCTAAAATCGGCCCGTTCAATTTGACGAACTTGCAGCAAGTTAGCAAGACGGAGCTAACTTTGATTTTTATTTTTATTTTTTTCAAGCCGGGCAAAAATAAAATAAAATAAAGAGCGCCTTTTCCTTTCTAAGCAACAAGCACAAAAGGCTTCTCTATCCCAACAGCTAAGACTGTTAACTCTCTCCTATATGCCATTCTCCTAGACCTTAGAAGCTTTTCCGCTCTCCCAATCCTCGCTACAATGAAGCATGCTAAGCATATGGCTTACAAATGTGGCCGGTGCGCGTTAGGTGCCCCGAGGATGTCGCATTTCACGATCCAACGAGATCGGATTCTTCTTTGGCTTGTCCTCCGCCCACTCCCACGTTCCTCTTTTTCGGCTTGGCTGGGCTGACTTTTCATTCGCAACGGGAGCCGGGTGGGCGGAGTTGTGGAGTCAGATGGTCCCAGAGGTTTAAGGAGGCGCTCAAAGTTGAACTTCGCTTTGCCAACGTCACTCACGCGTGGAGTGAGGGCCGGCGGTGGGCGAAGCGCACGTGGAAAGGGGTCGGGATTGCAGGGTGCGGAGAGGGAAGGAGGGGGAAAGCCGACCCGCCAGCCGCACGTATATTCGTTGTGAAGTTGCTGTTTCCCTTCCTCTGTAGTCAGTGGGATGAGCTTCTACGTGAGCATTTGAAGGTACAACCTGTTGGTTCAATAAAAACAGGGAATAGCGTTTCAGGGGGGAAAAACGTCCTGGAAAATTGCCCCAGTCAGTGGTTGATTTCACTTACTCCTCATGTTTCGTTTCCGGGTCGCGAAAGCCGACGACTTGAGGCGGTGCAGAGGGTTAGGTGGACCAGATCTTGGATGACATTTTCTAGCACCTTTACTCCCTTTCCACGCTAGTTGAAGGTCTAAGGTTCCTCTCTGCGTGTACGCCTATTTGGGGAAGAAGACGAAGAAAAACCAAAACCACTATATTAGACTGTGTGGAAAGGGAACTTCATGAGGACAGTGGTGACACCCAAGCAGGAAAAGCCCAAAGGGAACATCAGGCCAGCTATAAAACAAACTTGCATAGGAAAAGAGATTTAATAAAAGGTATTGAAAGAAGCCCCCTAGACAAAAGCCAAGTAATTAAGAAAGCTAGGGAAACAAGAAAAAGAAATCCCTTACAAACAAAAGGTCATGCCAAATCAGCAAAACAAATAGACAAAAGATACGAAATAAATTCCATAGCAGACAGGAGATTGCCACCAAACAAATATAAGATGAAACTGATAATCCAATCAAACCACCCCGCAGAGTTTACCCTCTGGCGGAAATGAAGACAACCCCCTGACAGGATTTAAAACATTAAGAAATACAAACACAAGCACTCACACACAAAAGGAGAAAAGGTATAAAAATCAGGAGTTTATTATACAAAGATGGCTAGCCCCAGGAACGCAGACTTCTTGCTATCTCTTGCCTTCCTGAAAATTAAAGGAACCTGCTTCCAAGTAGTTGTCTCTGTCTGTGTCCTTGTACTGGAGCACTCCCAACAGGAAAACCGAATCCTTAGAAGAAAGGCATTTTCCAGCCTTTCAACAACTGGATTCAACTAAATATAGTGGGAAATGGGTGTTCGGACCAGAAAATAAAGCTATAGCTTAAAGAACAGACATTAAAAAAATTAAGATTATTCCTAGAGTTGTTTTGTTTTGTTTTGCTTTTTTGGAAGTTTGTAGCTTCTCTTTGCAATTTTTTTTTTGGGGGGGGGGGGAACAAGGGCAAATGGGGAGAGAATGAAGAGAAAAGTTTCAGGAACTGACCTGGTGTTTGTAATATTAATATTATTTAATGTGCTCTCTGAGCTTAAGAGCAAAATGATCTGTTTTATCCTCCGATATCTAGTTTAAATGGAAGTGAGGTTTTCCTATTTCCATGTATTTTTTTTAATCGAGTTTTTTTACTGTAAATACAGGAACACCTGTTAGCATATTCACTGACACCTGGGCTACCGCTACACTGAAGATAAACTATATTGTGGACATTGTCTTGGAAAATGTTACCTAATGAGTATTCTTTCTGTAGTCTGCTTGTGGTCAGGAGCATTACTCTCCCAATTAGGTAGCAGGAAGAAATTGCTAGGAATTATCTAATTATAAAGATTTCTGCAGCTGGAATTGGCAGCACTTACAGTAGTTTGAGGAACTGCCTATTTCCCATGGTTTCTGCCTGGCTGGTACATGCCAGCAGAATTGGCACATTCTGGGTCTCTCCCAACAATGTATTTATCAGGGCCGAGGAAGTAAGCCTTCCCTGTTGTGGTGTCTGCCCTTTGGAATGAGATCAACTGGAAATCCATGTCCTCCTCCCCCACCCTGTTGTCATTGGCATAAAGCAGGGGTCTTCAAACTTGACAGCTTTAAGACTTGTGGATTTCAACTCCCAGAATTCCTCCTCCAGTCATGTTAGCTCAGGAATCCTGGGAGTTGAAGTCCACAAGTCTTAAATTTGCCAAGTTTGAAGACCCTTGGCATAAAGCCTTGAATAATTGTTTGTTGAGATGGATGGATCCCCTTCTTGGGTATGCCTTTTTATTGTTTTTAATCTCTATATAGTGACTGAATCCCATCTTGTTCTTAATTGGATTGGATTACTTTATGCTAATATATTGTGAGCTGTCCTGAGTCAACTGGAGACTAAATAGAATTAAATTAACACTATGAATGAAATCTTTATAAGAAAATGATATTACCTAGTTTTTCTGAAATAGCTGGATTGGCAAAAACCTGTTTCCAAATTAGTCCTTTACTCTTAGAAGAACAAGGCCTCGGACACATTTCCTATCCAAGACAGACCTCAGAGTATATGATTGATAACCAGTACCCCCAGACTAGAACTTCAAAGATCAAATTTATATCTGGTCTGCTAAAACATAAAAAGAAAACTTGAAATTATCAGTTAACTTGCATTTTTATTAGCACTTCAGCAGCTATCATGTCATGCTAAACCACTGAAGGAAGAATAACTATAGATAGTTTGAACAAGGCAGAATAGAATAACTATAGATAGTTTGAACAAGGCTACTCCATCTCTCTCTCTCTGTGTGTGTGTGCGTATAGTTACTACTGCTAGGAAAAACAGGATGTGGCTTGAACTGGCTAGCAAGCGGATAGAAGCAAGGACAAGTGATAAGGAAGCACAATGAATTATATCAGCCTCTGTGGAACATTCAGCTTTTGTAAAATTTTGACTTTTTAGAACTTCCATAGACTGATTCTGCGCATATAAAAAGAGTTTTTATTTTCTGAGTATAGGTAGAGCTGCTGCTTACTTCACCCTCCTGCCTTGCCCTGATATTCACTAAATATCTGATTCCAAAAGGTGTAGTCTCCATAGCTTGAATCCAGAGAACAATTCTTCTCAATGCTATAATGGTTTTTTTTATTCGTGTATTAGATCTTCATTGAGAAGAAGGAGTTCAAGACAGCATATGTAGCTCTCTGTCCTATTTGTTTTCCCCAAAATACAACCATCATATGATATAGGTTAACTGGGAGAGAGAATGACTGGCCTCAGCTCTCCCATGAAGCTTTCAGAGTTGAAAGTGGACTAGAACTTGGTCTCCTTGTTCTAGTTTAATCTTAATCCATATACCATGCATGCTGTACAACCTGAGCTGTTCTAGTTTTTGCAATCAACTACTGTCAAGCAAACCATTGTACAGTATTTGTCACATAGACAAGCAAGTGTCTTTGTGCAATTCATTAAGCTAGAGTGATGCATTCGTTAACGTGAATCTGGGGAAATCCAGATTCAAGTCTACCTTCAGCTACGGAAGTTTTTTTGGCCCAGTCACTCTTTCAGCCCAACCTACCTCACAGGTTTGTTGTTATTGGAGCAGATGTGAAAAAGGAGTGCCTGGTGACCACCTTTAGTTCTTGAACAAAAAGTGCAGTTTATCAACTATGATCTATTCCTTTTATTCTTTATTTGAGCTACCTTAAGTCATGAGGTGAAAAGAAGGAATCCTAGCAAGATGTCTAAACAGAACATGGGTCAAATTTTCTTTTCCAATTTCTCTCTCTAACATATATTTTACTAAATACCTTTTTTAAAAAAGAAACCTAATATAAAGTAAGAAAAAGGAAGAAGTCAAAGAGAAAGCTAAAAGTACAAGAAAGGGGGAAGGAAGTAAAAAAAAATATAGAAAAGAAAGAAAAAAGATATGAAGAAGTAGTTTCTAATCTTTATAGCATAACGTTCAAAACGTTAAGTACCGAACCGGTAGTAACACCAGTTGAATCCTACCCCGGTCACATCCACCTGATCCACTAGAATGGGAAGGCAAGGAATGTTGCTCCTAACCTCTAAGGCAACAGTCTTCAAACTTGGCAAGTTTAAGACTTGTGGACTTCAACTCCCAGAATTCCTGAGCTAACATAACTGGAGGAAGAATTCTGGGAGTTGGAGTCCACAAGTATGAAAGCTGCCAAGGAGCTGCTCTAAGGAGATATATTTGGTGTGAACCAGAAGAAGGCCCTTCTCTGTGGTGAAACATCATCCCTCTGAAAATTAGACTGGCTCCCATTGTGACACTCTTTCAGAAGGCCCCAAAGATGTGGTTCTGCCAGCGGGCCTGGGGAACCCACAGCAGTATGGAGCTCATTAAATGGCTGGTATGAGTGTGTGTTGTCGCTGGGGTGGAGAAGAGGAGATTATCTTATTACTTTTATTTCTTTTTGGGGGTGTTTTTATTTCCAGTAAGTTGCCATGAAAGAGCAGGCAGCAATATAAATTTACCCCAAAATAATATTTTTTTAAAAAAATCTATTGTTTTTCTTTTTGCACTTTTGATTTTTTCTTTATCCTCCTTTTTCTTACCTTTTTACTTTATATTAATTCTTGTTAGCTTTTATCTTTTTAACATTTTTATATGTTTACATTTTTTAATGAAAAATATTTAAAAAGAAATAGAAGCAAACAAGAGGTAGATCAAGCATCAGGGAAAAAAATGCACATTGTCAGCAAATCAGCATTAGAAAAGTCAGGAGGTGGAGAATCACTTTCAAAGGAAATGTAAGACAGTCCTGCTTTCTGGGAAGCCGCCACAAAAGCCAGTTCATGAAAATATTTTTATCACTTCCTGTAATAATAAAGGGAGACTTCCTGTAATGATTATTAAGAAAGGAAAAGGGGAGACTCCTGTGAAAATAACAGTTTAATCAAAAAGAGAATATATTGTCACAGGTGGACTGCTCTTGATATATGATTTTATAAGCTTGTAAGAGGTAATGAAATGCTTTCTTTAATATATATTTGAAGAGAAAAAATACTTTATTATTTTGTTTATATCTGGACATCACTTAAGCAAAATGATTCAATCTCTTAAAACATCTAAAATATACTACATATTTAGCTACATAATATCTGAAT